AGGGTCCCGAATCAAAGAATCTGTTGACGGTCTTGCGGGATGTTTCCGGCGAGGGTCGTTGTCCCGGAAGAGCCGGTTTCCTCAGCACCTGCGGCTTCGGTGACGGCATAGGCGACGGCCCCGTCGACGACGTCGATGACGACGGCAGCGGAAACGTGATGGGGAACTTGGGCACTCGGCGCTTTTCCGGCGCCGGAGAAACGATCGGAATGACAGACGAAGACGTCACGACGGAAGACTCGAGCTCCGCTCGCAAATCGCTCACCGACTTGCGCGGCACTTCAATAACAACGGGCTCCGGCACGGACTCGCGCTTGATGGCACCAACGTTCTTCTTCAACGTGCTTTGGTTCGATTCGGCAAATCTGATGAGGATTAATCAATTAACATAACTGATCAATTCAAGAGGATTATCTCGTTACGAATTTACAATCAAACCAGGCCAAGACGCTCCCCCGGATAAGCCGTCACCCTTGGCAACTGCCAATTTATAAAAAAAAGGATTAATCAATTAACATAACTGATCAATTCAAGAGGATTATCTCGTTACGAATTTACAATCAAACCAGGCCAAGACGCTCCCCCGGATAAGCCGTCACCCTTGGCAACTGCCAATTTATAAAAAAAAAAATATATATATATATATCGCCTATAGTGACGAAATCATTGGAAACCCCGTTGAAACGCCATCCGCCATATGCCAAAATTATTCACAATTCAAATATGCCTCTGTCAGTTAATTTTGTCTTCGTTGGCCCGCCAACAAGACTCAAATTCCTGCGAGAGATCGCCAAATGAAAAAAAGACGAACACAACGATGACATAATTTATTTTTTGGGAATGTTGGCTAGAAATGATTTACACATCCCACGGATATTTTGATAGTTTTCTAGAAGAAAAAGATTTTTATTTTTATTTTCATATTACAGTACAGTATTTCAGTTTTTTTTGGTTAACCAACAACCCTTCTTTTAAACCGCCACAAACCTCACGAGCAAATTGTGACGGCTTATCGAGGTATGACTGAACTGTGCTTCAAACAAACAGGAAATGAATTGTGCGAGTTGACACAACGTTACTAGAAGTAAAAAGAAATGGAGTGAATTTTGCTACGGTAAACAATTCCTGCGCTTCAGGAAAACAGGACAGATGCACTTCACAGGATTTTTTGCAATATCCGGAATATAAAATTTTTTTTGAAGATTCGTTAACGCTGCAAAGTCTCGATTTTTCGCGGGGTCCGGTCAACCGAAGTTAAAGTCATTCAGGGAAGTGCGATTCCGTGATGGCGAATGAGCAAAATTCCATTACGCCTGCCGTCAGCATCTACCATTAGCGAATAAAGTTGGACTCTCTAAACAACGGTTAGAAAAAAAACCGTTATGAAGAACCCCAATAACATGAGGAGAGAACCCCATCGGATTAAAACATGGATTCTTTATGCAGATAAAATCATTTTAGAGGGAGTCAACCTTTAGAATGCTCTTAAAGTCTGCGTCGAAAAAAAAGTTATAATATGCAATGAGGTTTGGGTATCCTCTTCGAAAGGTCTATATTTTCTTTCCCTTCGACATGCAGTGCCGAAAACATACTCTGATGAAGTCACGTTAATTAAATTTCTTACATCTCCTTTCGACAGAAATTTCATCAGTAAATGCTCAGGGCTTCCCGAAATGTTTACATTTTTTTTTTGGGTAGCAGGTCGTCCGGAAATCATTCAACAATCGCAAGGAGCAGAGCCAAAAGGATGAACACTATGAAGAAAGGGACCAATAGTACTAGTTCTTCAATTTAAAATCATCTTCACGCGACGATTAAAAAAAAGTACCTGTCTGCTGCTGAAGTTTCCGGACTGTCCAAACTGAGAGTTTCGTTCGGACCAGGAGAGGAAGACGAAGAGGGAGGCGAGGAAGATATCGGCAGATCCATCACCAAATCCGGAGCTTTATTTGTAGAATTCAACCTCGGAGCTGCTCTTGGAGTCACTGGCTTTTCCACAACCTGAGACGAGAGCAAAAACGTATGAGTGTTGGATATTCTTGCAAAGTTAATCTTACAACAAAACATAGTGGCCAAAAATACTCAGAAATTTCAATGCTTTCCTCAAAATTTCCCCTCTCTGTCCAATAGTGATCAAGTCTCATAGCAAACCAGAAGACGTTATGGGCAAATATAATGGACTTACAATTTTATACCAAGACATCACACTTTCCCTTGATGACTTGAACTTTGATTAATCGAACCCCACAAAAGCTGGAATTTTGCACCATGAACAAGTCTTCAACAAAAATACCGTAATTTCAATTCCGCAAAATGAATTATCTTGTTCTTCTATTCTGCATCAATTTATATATACTGTACAGTTTCAGCAGCAGATTCTATCAGCATTTAGTGCCGATTTCAATTCATGGGTTTCATCGAAAATCTACGACAATCGCTAACTAAAGGTCGAGTACGGTTACTGACTGATATTTCATCAAAACCTAATTCTTCAAGGTTTCAGCCAAAACTACACAGACACAGTGGTATCTGAATCTCGCTATAAGGAAATTTCCATATTCAATACAATATACAGTATTACTCTAGAAACTTCGTTACAGTGCGTTCGTTGTAAAATTGAGTTATACTCCGAAAGAGCTTCGTGAATTTTCGAAGTACAATAACGCATGTTGATTTGTCAAGAAAAACATCAGGTTTGCAGAATATCATCTTTTATTCCGGAAAAAATTATTATAATTTTTCTATTACAGTAATATAGAAATCTAGATGCGAAGAATTTTTATACATATAACTGTTTCCAAATCCCAAGAAGTTCATTCTAATCTGTACACCAACACTTCAAATTCATCATTTTTTTTTCAACACTGCATATACAGAACTCAAAATATTTCCAGTAATTCATAAAAAATATTTCTGAGGAGCTAACCTGATCGGTCCCAGGCTCACCACCTGCAGCTCGCTCTTCCCACAAACTCCGTCTGATTCGGAAATTCGACGTTGTTGAAACGTTTTCCAAGCTTTCCCGCTTGATTTTTCCGTAAGCCTCGACCTTGCAGACCCCGCGCTGCTCTTGCAGCATACCTCCTTCCGCATCCGCACTCAAATTCCTCTTGTGATGCACTCTCTAATAATCAGAAAATTAAAAAATATTAGCTACCATCGAACGCAACTCCACTAAAAATTGCCTCTTCGAAAGAAGTGCTGTACTGTAAAAGAAAAGAAATCCGGAAGAGTCGAACTACACAAGCATCGACAAATATAATGACGCATACGTCACGCCGAAATAGAGCCAATTTAGTTTAAAAATCTCAAAACCGAGGTCGAATGATGGCAAGAGGAACATCTCCTTTCTGGAAACCCGCATTTAATTTTGGTCGATGACACTTCCAAAAGAAAAACGAAGAACTTCAGCGTTGATTCACTCTCGGCATTTATACAATGAAACTCAGGGTGCACATCATTTCAAAGTTAAGAGACACGTTTTAAAACATTTACTTTAATTCAATCGCTCAAATAACGATCGACACGGCATTAATTCCAAGGACTGCCTCCAGGTTTTCCAAGATAATCCAGCCATTTTCATCAACAGCCGCCACATTCTCGTCCGTTAAGTGGCGTTTGTGACGGTGGCCGTTAAGGAAACTGGCGGACTTGATAATAAATTGGTGGCGGCAACCCTTAGAAAGTTAGAATGAATGCCATGTCAACTAAAAGAAGTCTGAACGGTACGCTAGAGTAAAAAAAAAAAAAAAAAACTGCGAGATGGACGCCTCATCTTTTGAGTGAAGAGCAGAAAGCTGCCAGGGTGACTTTGGAAAAAAATTTCTGGAAAATATGTCAACAGGGCTGTTTTTTTCATCTGCCAAAGAATGTTTTTCAAATACAGTGAGACCCCCGGATGCGGACACCCCGACATAATGGACGATTTGACCTGGGGACACTTGAAACTTTCAAAAATTGGGCCCGACATCCGGACAATATTTCGACATACAGACACTTTCCCAGGATTTTTAGAAAAGTTAGAAAATTTCAAATTTTCAAAATTTTAATATCTCATGAATAAATTGAGCTATTCATATACACAGAGATTAAAAATGAATTTCATTATAAATTTACTTAACTTCATCAAAAACAGGTTGATTCTGTGCTTATTTTTCAGCATTCTTCATCCTCTGTGCACATAGGATAGAAATCTGTTTAGTTTTCATTATTCTAAATAGTTATATTCAGTATCTTTGGTTGAGAAACACATTTTTAATTTTTTTTTTGGATCTGGAGAACCAATTGAATTAGTTCTCATTGGAGTCTATGGGAAAACGAGGTCGAACATGCGGACGTTCCAACATCGGGACACAGTTTTGGCACCAATTACGTCTGCATCTTGGGGTCTCACTGTAATTGTTCTTCATCTCAATCGTATGCTGTTCCAATTTCTGTTCTGATAACATTAGTTAGACCCCTCGTAGAAGGAGACTTAAAGCCGATACAGCGGGTAAAAAAAAAAACCGAATAAATAAATAAATAAAGGAAAAATGACCTGGATAACAGGGGTGGACGACTCAAAAGAAAGGGGTGGATTAGCCCGATGCGAGCTCTTCGGATCCCGCATAGTAACGACAGGACGTTGCACATCTTCCTCTTCGTCTTCCGAAATGGCCAACTTATTCGCAGTTGATAACACCTCAGCCATCGCGTCATCCAGAGCCTCCACAGCAGCGGCAGTCGCTTGATGATCGTAGCTCGAAATCTTCTCCTCCATAAGCTTATTCTCGTCCCCATTGTCGTCATCGTCGTACTCTTCCTCTCGTTCTGAAGCGATGGACTCGGTTCTTGGTTCATCAATGTCCGACAACTTGCTCAGACTGTCCACACTGCCCCCTAGTGAGTTTGACGCAGAGGAGGAGAGCAGCGAAGAGGTTCGGTTTTCCGAGACACACGTTCGGAATTCCATTCCGGAAAACCGCCTAAGAGGATCTTCCTCCGACCGCTAAGAAGAGAACGTTTAAACTAATCAAAACACATTTGATGGAACTCATCAGATTAATGCTCAAAATACGGCTACATCTTTTCATGTTCTTCTCGCCTGAACAATTTAAACGTGGGAATTGTATCATCAGTGATCGCTAAGTCATGGAACTGTACGCAGGGGGAACAATGATCGACGTTCTTCTAGAGCAGCTTTTTGATTTGAGTTATCCAATCTAAGCGGAACAGAAGAACAAGGTCGTAACGAGCAGGATAATGGAACGAGGGAACCCGGGGCCTAAAACTAAAACGTAATCGAGTATATCGGCTTCGTCGCAAAAAAAAGCTGATTTTAAACTGTAGCATCAGACCTCGCTTCCCGAACGTCACCTCAATCATAACTCATTCAAGAAACCCAGCAGTTCTGAACGAACCTGTTCTGCACTTTCCACAGAACCCGCAGCCACTCAATTGGGGAAAAATTACCAGAAAATAATTAGCGCAGATCGATTAGACGCATAAGCAGGAAACGACCAACTGTATTACGTCTCTCATTCAAAGAAAGACAAATTTTATTTAAAAATACATTTAACTTGCACGACAAATGGAAGGCCCCAGATCATTAATACGAGCACTTTAGTCCGATTCAATCATAAGATACTGCGTACTCGGTCCTGAAAAATTACAGAAAATTTTTGCAGATCATGAAGGTCGAAAAACTCTGACCTCGTCACCTGAACAGACCCTACGTAACCAATTGAACATGATCTCGACCTTGCAAAACTTGAACGAAAAAAAATTCATTCGACGCATTAAGAGAAGAAAAAGTATGAGCTGGAAGCGTTGCACATTAAAAGTGTGAATAATCAGAAGGGATACGTGCACCAAATGAGAAAATTTGCAAAAGGTGTAAGCTTCACGAGAAATACATCAGGAATATTTTATGCATCTATCATGAATCCATTTAGAAAGTACATGTCACGAGACTGAAGGAAATTCTGAGAAATAATTTAAAGGCAACACTCGTCGCTGGGCTGAAACCAGAGTATACCTCACAATGAAATCATCTATGTCCTGTTGAAGCAGTGATACATAATTTGTAGCTTAATGGAAAGAAATCAAGATTATCTTCCGGTACCCACTGCTTCGAAATGATGCTAAATCTTCGATAAAATATTTACTAACTTCAACGCCTCGGAAAATCTGTTCTCCATACTAATTCCATCGATTCACTTGAAATTTTAATCTGAAGGAATTATTGGAAACATAAGCGAAATGCTGCTAAAGACGAAACTTGGATGACACGTATAGCCCCATACCTTAGCGATCAAGTTAAAACGTTTCTAAAACTATTTTCAACTATAAAAATGTACGAATAACGCGGCGGTAATCGACACATCTTTGACGAGAAATCAGGAAATTGTTCGCACCAGAACAGTACACTCCACTAAGATACAAACTCCAGGGACACGGAAACTCGGGGCGGAGTCCTCAACCACGAATTAAACACACTGCGTTAAACCAGAAACCCAAAAACGATCTTCCACCACAAAAAAAAAAAAGAAAAGAAAAAAGAGTTCAACGTAGAAAAATGAACTACACAGATTTCATCAAGCTATAGGAGGGCAGACGCTTGAAAAGAAAAAAACAAAAAAATAATCCAAACTAAGGAAACAAAGGCAACACGCAACGTACTCTATAGAATCCGAAGTCTAGGAAAAAGCACGATCTACGCGGCGTGCTACAGCTCTTCACCGCATCCGTCTCAGGTCCAAGCCCTCATCCTTCCTCCCCCCCCTTCGCCATTAAGAACAATTCAGCCAACTAAACTAATAAAAAAAATTCAAAGAGAGAAGAAAATTCGAGAAACGCCAGCTGATGTTCAACAGTTGAGAGAGAACGCTCATTACAGGGAGACAACATCCATCGTGAAGAAAATTTAAAGTAAGAAACGATTGAAATTCGGGGGAGAATAAAGATTAAGGATCATCTAACGTCCAATTATTCCAAAAAGGAGCAATAAGTGATAAGTCAGAATACTGTACCAGGAAAGTAAGTGAGTGCTTATATTCGCGTATTCATTGTAATTTGGATTTTTTGCATGAAAAATTTAGGGGGTGCATGAAGGGAATTTGGCACCCCTCGAATACTGTTATCGAGGGTGCTTATATTCACGTAAATACGGTAATTAATACTCTACTCAAGAAAGCGACAGCAGACCTTAGTACAAAACCAACACCTACGTTTGATCCGTATCTCTTTTTCCTGCAAAGAATCACACTAAGTGAGAAGAGCAACTTCTTTCAGTACATTTGATGATTCGGTACATGGCATGATCTCGGAGACCTTTACAAAAGAAATTTACCTAACCAGAGAGAAAAGAAAATAGAAGCATTGAACGTATATCCAGGGCTAAAGGAAGGAGAGGTGGACACCAAAGAACCAACTCAGAGAAACTTAAATTGGCTAATCATTCCTCCAACAGCATTGGAGTTCGAGAAGAAAAGCACGAATATTTACGGCACTCTACTTCAAAAAATAAAAATAAAACTCAACACGAAGCACCGCGCCAAAACACAATCTTAAGGACGAAAAAATCAAAATAAAGCCATCGCCGTTAGACAGGGGTTTGAAGGAGAACGATTTCAGGGGATGGCGGGGGCGACGGAACGGGGGAAGGAGAGGACACCGGCGACCCAGACGAGCAAGCGGACGAGGACCCATGGCCCAAAGTATCCACAGAACCACCAACCCCGTCGACGTTGGAGCTCGGCGCATCGACGGCCACAGAGCTCAAGCTGATGGTCGTCACTCCGCTCGGGGATGACGAGAGCGAAGATCGGATCGGCAGACTCGACGACAGTGTCGGTGCAATCGGAACGCGTGGCGATGGCTGACCCAAGCCCCGGTTCGAGTCAGGTCGTCCAGAGTCGCTCGAGCTGGAACGACGACGCTTCGTGTCGCTACTCTCGCTGTCGGAGAAGTCGCCGGCCATGGACGAATTCCGCAAATCCGACCGCTCTTTATCCTCATCCCTGAAAAAAATAAACAAAGACACGGATTTAACGCCATGCAAAAATATCACAAAGCTGTACAGTAATTCTAAAAAAGCGTCGGTGGTTTTTACTCGAAACGCCTGACAGTCATTTCCTTCTCTTCCGCGTAAGTTCCTTCTAGATTTCGGAAAATTCTCAAAGCCTAGGTAGTTGAACAGGCCAAAAATGTATATTAAATAGGCTCAGTAATTTTGCGTCAGACTTGTAACGAGGGATGTCCCAGTTGGACGCGACCTCTAACATTCTCACATTAGTAGTGATAATTGGAAATACAATAAGAAATAAATAAAAAAACATGACATAGACTGATGTTCTAAGGTTCTGGATTTTTTATTAAATTTTTTTTCAATTTCCTGCACAATGAGTGAAAACTTTCCAGTTACAGCCAGAGTTTGCCACCCATGTCACATTGTGCTAAAAATGTGTCAGGATAGCTAAAAACATGAATTTCTCGTCTTAGCCATTATCTAAAATGAAGAAAAGATAATCGGTAAAATAACACGAAATTCAATTTTTGGCTAACCTGAAACCTTTTCATTGCCCTGCGACATGGGTTGAGAACTCCAGCTGTACAATGACTGGAAAGTTTTCACTTATCATCAGGCAGTACATTGAAAAATGTTTGTTTTAAATCCAGAAAAAAAAATCCTCAGGACCTTACAACGTTATGGGTTATGTCGCTTTTTTAGAATCTCCTATTGCTCTAAAAATGTCAGAGGTCGCGTCCAACTGGGACAACCCTCATAAGCTTCCCGTTAAACGAGGCGATTTCATGGATTCGAAATCCAACAAGGGAAAAGAGTTTTAAAAAATTTGTTTGTCGTTGCGGACAAAAACTTCCCGCAAAAACAAATGACTGTGCCTAGTGGCCAGAAGGATTTTACGTGATTTTACTACTTTTTGATCAAATCATCTCGTACGTTTAGAATTTCCTACGACATATATAACTTCAGCTTCGTTTCGTTTTAAATTGTGGCTACGGAGAACACCCCAAACGTGAAGACGCTCAGGCATTTCTGGGTTCAGTACTGTACATGCTCCGAACCGCGCAAAATTAAACCTTTCAAATACGAGAACCACTTGGACTCACTCAATTTTGAGCACGATGTATTTATCGGGGATGAGACCTTGTCGACCTTTGAACGCTCCTCGCCACCAATCCGAAGAAACTTGAGAATATAAAGCCAACGTGTCACCCTTCTTGAATGACAATTCTCTCGGGCTTCTCGCAGTGAAATCAAACTGCGCCAGCCCTTGCAGCACATCAGACTCTGCAAGCAAATCAAAAACATTTTTATTAAAATAAATATGATTTTGCATAAAACTTCAATCCATAAACAAGAAGCGTTTGCAAGCGGATCGAAGTGACTCACTTGTGAACAACTGCAGGCTGTTGTCTTTGTCACGGAAAACGATTTCTGTTGAAACAAGCGAGCAGCAAGAGGTGCAAGAAGACAGGTAAAAAAACCAAAGTTAATAGCGTGAAAGAAAAATGCAAAATATTGTACTGTACTATAATAGCTATTAACAGAGAAAAAACTGCAGAACGTTTTACCGCAAAAACAACTTACCGTCTTCGGAATGTCCCACTTCCGAATCCGCATCGTCTGCCATTGTAGAATCCGAAGGCGCTTCTCCAACGTCACTGCAATGCAAGAGACTAAACATTAACATCAATTTCACGTCAGGTACCGAATTAACACTCGAAACTTTAAATTGAAGTCACTTTCGCAAGAAATAGAAAATGATGTTGGCATATATAATGTGCGGTCCTTGCATAATTTAATTTTGAACCGGGATAGTACAATTTGTACAGACTGATCCAAAAATAGGGAAAAATATATCTTTTTTTCCAACTTCCAGCTTGTCTTGCTTTCCGTGATCAACAAAAATAACCTGAACCAAACTACTGTAACTGTGCCAAAAACATAATTTGAAATAGACAAGCGAAGTATCACTTATCAACTTGACCTAAATTAAACCCAACAAGCAGTAAGAAAATTCAATTACATTCACAAACTTAAATTGAAAGCAATTATTTGGATTGGGAACCATCAGACGCTCAAGCGGAACAAACTTTCTTCCATTTTGAATCTTTAATAAATTCAGTTCATGCCGCAGAATAAATCAAGAACAGTAAATAGGAAAACGGATTCACAATAGAAGATGAACAAAAGAACAATCGCTTCGATTATGAGCATCATAGTCAGTCACTATAGAAGTTACTGTTCTTTGGATCAATAAAAAATAACCTGCTAATAATTGTCGAAGAAACAGTCAAGAGCTTTTTACAATTCATAGGTTCATCTGCAACTCTCTAAAAGCTCTAGAGAGGATTTAAATAAGATTGTATCCTTTTTCTATCCATCACACTTCAGGCAATAGTAAAAGTTATACACACACCATCCAAGAATTTAAACATTTGTTGTCCATGATGAATTTTCGCATGACCCACTGAACTAGTTCTGGGGAAATTTTACGGCGTCTCGAACGACTTCCAAAAATAAATCCAAGACAGAATACCCCCGGAAAAAAACAAGCCTTACGTCTCGTCTCCTGCATTCGGCAACAAGTACTTTTCGTACATGAGCCCACCATCAACCGAGAAGATGTCTTCGTGATAGATGATCACATTTTTGATGAGCTCGTTCACCATGTTCTGGTACTGCACTTGATCCTTGTCTTCCGGGATGGGCACCAAGCTCGGACCGAAGCATATGGCCAGGTTGTACGGATCCATCATGTTCTCGTCACTGAACTCTGACAAGCTGCAAACATAAAAAAGATTGAAAATGGGCTCGAGGAAAATTAATGAAAAATCCCTTTCCAATACTGTAGTTCCCAGACCAGCTACTCACTGATTCAAGAAGGCGAACAAGTATCTCATGACGACGAAGACGGATCGCGGCAAAGCCGTGACTAACTCTTTGAATCGCAGCACGAATTCATGTTTGGATTCCAATTCTAGTCGAGAAGAAAAGAATTCCCTGCCTGCTATGAAGCTTGAAGCATTTTTCAACACCCCGAATACATACGAGCGAGGTCCATGAGCTGTTCGAAATAAACCGTCGGGAAAAGCGGTTCTCTCAGTTCCCTCAAATACAGTTTGAGTACCCCGGCAACGGAATTGATGTCAGAAGCATCATTTACATCTCTGA